TATAAACCCGACATTTGATATATACACATATATATATATATATATATATATATATATATATATATATATATAAAGGGTAAAACTTTTCTTCTTCCTTTTTTTTTTTTGCTTTTTGCAGAAGATACATTCTCTGACAACATCTGTTTACATGCAATGAATGTATCTTTCAAAAGTCCATTGTTTGTCCTAATCCTGCAACATGTCGACATCACGACGAGTGCAATGTATAAAATCATTGTGTTATTTGTATTATTATTTTACCACAACATTATCTTATTTCTTATGTTTTTTTTTGGTAAAATATTATTATTATTATTATTATTTCTTATGTTATTATAACATATAGAATTTTTGTCTTTTACAAGATTATTGTTACATCATTTTCGATACGATGATGTATCGCTTTTGGTATGCTATATTTGAACGTTTTAAAAATTACAGACAAAAAAATTAAGTTAAACTATGTTTGAAACAAAATCGATACGTTGAATAATGCAAAGCAATTCGGTGTTAAATTATGTATAGAGAAATAAATAAAATTTAAAACTGTAGTTTTCCCATATAAATCTTTGCTGAAGTACCAAGAATCCGCGCTTTGTCCAATTTCCAAATTAATTTGTTTTTGCTTTTTATTTTAAATTATAAAAGGTACGTATATCCAATCCCAACAGTCGATTATTTTTGTTATATTACAATTTAATTTGACAATATCAATTGATAAATCTCGTGGTGTACGCACAGTAGAGAGCTTTTTTTTTTTTATGTATTGTGTTTATTGAAAATTAATAAACATAAAAATGATATTTCAAGATTCGTACATAAAATTTAATTCTAAATTGGAAGAGATTTATAGTCAAATAAATTATTATTATTCAACGAGACTGTTATGGTACATTCAAATTGTGTACATCGATCAATACGATATTTTTTAACCTATTTTGTTATCATGTGCGTGCATCCCAACATTTTTCAAAAGATCATCCATCGTAAAACTATTCCAAAACGATCAAATTTAGAATTCTCTAGTAATATACAAACAAAAAGATAAATGTATTTCTTTTAAATTATTTTTATTTTGTAATTTTAAACCTCTATAACCATCAAATCTTTTTTATTTCGGTACGTTTGATTCATCTATGTATTTTTTTCTACCTTGCCCGTATCCTTCCACCTCATTAATCATTCATCGCTTTCATCAGTATCCGAGATGTTTTCAATTTTGTTTTCAAGTTGGTTAAGCTTAACTACTTTGGATTTTTGTAAAGTTTTTCCCTAATTGTTTATTTTTTTATAAAGTTTTTTTTTTGTAATTTTTCTAATGAGTTACAGTGGATTTGGCAGGGAAAAAAGATCGTTCATGTGTTTGTGAATGACTCCGGCGGCGAGGGCAATCCAAACTCTAAATTCCTTCTCCTACAAAATTTGCCAACAATTTTTCCTAGTTATTATAAAACATTTCAAATAAGACTTTCACCCATTTTCATATCTAAACTTGAATATATATATATATATATATGCATATATGGATATATATGTATATGTATATATACTTATATAAATAGATGTATATATAGTTAAGAGAGGATATCCTCTCTTTCAAATTTTAAAAATAATTAGTTTCTTTTGAAAAAAACTCATTACTTTTTATTTTTATTATTATTTTATTGATATTCCCGATTTATAATTACACAGTTTATTTGCATTTTCACAAGAAGAAATGGAAATTATATCAATGTCATTAAACTTCCAAAATAAATTATATAAATGTAGGCTTTGGTACGTGTTGTTTGATGAGGGTGTGGTTCTTTTGTCATGTGCAATGAATTTGATTACCAAAAGTGTATTAATTTGAATTATTATCTTTGTTGGCTTAGGTGGACCCATTATAATCTATATATCTATATATCTATATCTATATATATCAAAGTAGAGTTGAGTGAAGGATGGTGTGACATATGTCCAATCTCCTTTTTAAATCTATTCAATTAACTAGGTATATACCCGCGCGATGCGCGGGTTAATTTTTTATATTTATATTATTTTTATAAAATTTGTTGGTATAAATGTTATAAAAAGTGATATGAAAATCAAATTATTGTAAAATCATCATTAGTTATTATATTATTTGTATAAATACGTTAAGATGTGAAAGATTTTTTTCGATCTCTTAAAAATTAGTTATAATATAATAATAAAAATGACATTATTAAATATTATAAATATGATTTTTTTTATAATGTGTTATGTATTTATGATATGAAACTTTTGTTATTTATTATAGTTGTAGAAAATTTGTAACATTAATGTAGTAAAAACTGATACAGATTATTTGTTTAAATATATAAAAATATAAAATAATACTTAGATGATAACATTTACAAATTTGATCATCTGTATAACAAAATATATGAATTTTAAAATCTAAATATATCTTATTTATTTTTTTAATTTGATAAATCTAATAGGTATTTTTTTTTTGTCAACGCTAGCAAATTATTATATAAATGTATCTAAAACTTCTTTGTAACTATAGTACAAATGGTGGCATTAATGTTTTCAACAATAGTATTTTCTTAAAATAAATATAAAATTTATTATCTGTTAATTTATATATGTTTCTATTTGACCTACTTTTGAAATAACTTTTAATAAATATATATCGTACATTAATTATTTTTATATTTTTCTATATGGTTCTGAAATAGTTTTTCTTTAACAACATTTTCCTGTAATATTGTCCTTAGTAAGATTATGTTTTTATAAACATATAACTCATTATATGTAAAATTACATTTTCATGATTTAATAAGTCAAAAATAACTAACTCATTTTTATGGAATAGATTTTGCTCATCCCATATATTTAGAGTTTCTCTCATGTCTTTAGAAATTCTATCATAATATATTATGATTGATGATGCATTCTCATCTCATCCAATGTTATATTGGATGAAATTAATATTTGAATACATAATCTTAAGTACTACAATAAAATTAGTTTTATTTATGGTTCTTAATTTAATATGTAATGATGTTATTTGATATAGATTATGTGTATTCATTAAGATCTTATGTTGAATCAATTAGATGTTAATATTTTTAAATATATTCAGATATTATATGTATGGCTAGATTTGTTTTTTAGCTTTTATTGTGATAAATCATTTCTGTTTTGTAATTTTTTTACCACTTATCATATAGGCTCCAAATATTTAATATTATATAAATATGTTGCATATTAAATTAGAAATTCAAATTAAACCCTAACTTTATAAACTATATATTTTTAATTTGCTAAAAAACCAAATTTATGATTTTATGTCAAAATTAAGAAGTCCATATTTTTATATGATTTATTTTTTTAACACATTTCGATTTCAGGTTATTAGTCGAATAATTTTTTTTATAAATTTTATATTTTGCATACTTTTTAAAATTTTATTTTTGTACGTTGTACAATTTTTTTACACCAATTATTGTTAATATATTTCGTATAAAAAGAGTTGTATACAAATAGTTTGTTGATTTGACCTTATCGTTTTGATAGTTTGTTAATTTTATGTTATCATTTAGTTTTAGTATAATTTTTTCATAATTATATTTTTCTTGAATTTCTCTTATATTATTTTTTCATTTCAAAAACTTCTCATTTACTTTACATGTATTTTTTAAAAATTATTAATTGATTTCATTCTATAGATCTATCTAACATACATTTCATTGTTATATATAATAACAAATAAAAATAAATTTATTTAAAAAAATAAATCATCAAATAGAAAAATAAATAATAAAATTAATCTATACATTTATACACATACATAATTTATTTTAATTTAATTTTCTTTAAATTGCACCTCATTTATTATACATGTGAAATGATAAATCTGTCTTGAATAAGAAGTTATTAACACAATATTATATACTTTAAAATATTAGCAACATTCATGCATCATTTATACTTTTTATACACATTAAGGTTTAATATATGATTATAAGTTATAACTTTCAACTTATTACGTCAAATTACATCTTAATAACAAAAACCAAAGAATTTTAGTGTTCTTTCATAGAAATTTAAAGGCATCACATTCTTCCAAAAAGAATTTCATGTTTCAATTTTCATCATATATCAACATGAAGTTTTGTCCTTAAACTTAAATCCAATGAGGGTAACAATATATTTTTGTTAAAGATGAGAGTAACAATATTCTTACGAATGTCTCCAAAAACCTTTACATATATATATATATATATAAGCTGAATGATCAAATAGTGTTCTAACGACAGGTTCATGGCACATTTACGGAGTATCACTGTCTCAACTTTCACAATTCAAAATCAGATTTTGTGCTAATAGATGCAGAAAAAGTAAAACTCATTAATCTTATTATAGAAATTGAAAAGTCCAATAATGTGTTTAATTAATCTTATTAATATTGCAGATATATTCTATTATCTTTCAGAACTCTCTCGAGAACCCAAAGACATCAGTAGATTTATTCCAAAAAAACATGGAATTCTCAGGGCACCACCATCATCACCATCACCACCACCG